AGGGTGGAGGGACAGCACAGAAGAGGTGGATTGATTCAGTGACTGGGGTAACGGGGGTAGGTGTGTTGGAGATGGTGTGATTGGCACAGGATAGGGCAGAGTTTAGGGCTGTTGTTACATAGGGGCTCTATGAGTCGCAGGCGACTCGATGGCATATAACAATATTATTATATTGTATGTGTGTGTAAGTGAAGAAACACCTTGAAAGAAAGGCTGGCTGATCTCCTTCTGAAAGATCAGTCACTGACCACCACATTGAGCCCAGTTCTGCTCTGATAGACAAGCCTGCGTGAGTCAGAATTGACCCCCACCAATGTGCAACCAGGTCATCGGAGTGGGAGGGACCCTGCCTCATATCACCTTGTCTCCTGTCCCTTCCTTTAATTTTGGAGCACATAGTTGAGGAGGGGCAGGCCTGGTCCCGGGAAGGGATGGAAATGAAGACAGGGAAGGCGATGGAGTGAGGATGGACCCACAGGCTGGGCTGGGACACAGGTGGGCGAGGCGTTCCCTACCTGGTCTGGGCTTCTGGGATGATGTCGTCCATGACCACGTAGACCATGGCTCCCGCCGCAAAGGCCAGCGCATAGGGCAGGATGGGCTCAGCGAGAGCCACCGCAAAGGCACCGAAGACGCCCGCCAGGGGCTCCACCATGCCGCTTAGCTGCCCATACCTGAGGAAGAGTGCGGAGAGGTCACCAACAGGGCGGCCATGCCGGCCTCCGCATGCTGGCCCGTCCCCAGGAAAGGGGCTCGTTGTACACCACGCCATGCGTCCCTCACAGGGCTGGTGTCGTTAATGCCTCTTTCTTCTCTCCTAATTTCCCAGCAGACAATTACAGTAGCCTCTCCATTTCTTTTAGAATTTTACATTGCCTGCATTTTAAAAATGACCTTATTGAGATATAGCATACACACCACACAACTCACCCATTGAAAATGTACAGCTCAGTACTTCCTATATTCATAAGGTGGTAAAATCATCACCACTATGTAATTCCATAGTACTTCCCTCACCTCCAATGAAACCCCGTATTCACAAGCAATCACCCCAAATCCTCCCTCCCCTAAAACACTGGTCTAGTTCTGTCCCTAATAGCTGTGCCCATTTTGGACGTTTCATGGAAATGTGTCCTTCGTGACTGACTTCTTAGCATTATAGGAACAAGAGACATCCCAATCATACACAGAACTTCATTTATTCTTATTGTAAAATAATAGCTCATTGCTTCAGTAGACAGATGTTCTTTTCGTCTCTCAGCTGATGCCTGCATGGTCTTCTATAGGGAAGGGTACTGACTAGGAGTGGATTGGTCACTTCCCAAGGATAATTGGGTGTGGCGTGCTTGGGGGTTCGGGTCACAGTCGCTGTCGTTCTAATGGATGTGCACCCACCTAGCATCTACTGAAAAGCAGGGTCTACCTGGCCACGTGTGACTCAGGGGTGTGTCTGCCACCTTGGACCGAGGTGAGATTTCTCTTTCTAACACCTCCCCCTATTGGAGCTATGGTGAGTGAATGTTTCTCCGCAGCTTGAAACCAGATGTGACTCGGTCCACACACAGCAGACATGCACGGAAGCAGCTTTCAAGAAATCAAAAGACAGGCTGCAGTGGGAGAATCTCCTGTCAAGGACCTCTTGAAAGCGCTAGAGAGCAAAAAGTGTGAGTTTAAAGACTTAAGTTGTACCTGGCCCAAGCCATGCGATTTCCAGTTGCTTCAGAGGCTTGTGAGAGTTGGACAATGAATAAGCCAGACTGAAGCAGCAGTTGTGCCTTTGAACTGTGGTGTTAGAGAAGCTCGGTGAGTTTTCCAGGGGCGGCCAGAACAACAAACTAGTCTGTCTTGGAGGAAGAGCAACTACAACGTTCCTTAGAGACAAGGATGGTGGAACTTTGCCTCACACTTTGGCCACGTTGTTGGTGTGAAGACAGAAAAAAGAGTTGAGAGAGAAGGAAAGGAAGCTGGTTCCCAAGCAACGAACAGGCCTTTACTTGATTGGTCCAGAGGGACGCCAGGTGACCACTTGCAGAGAGGAACAGTGTGCCCTGCAGGCAAGCAAAGACTGGTTTCTTTTTACAGAGGCTTTTAGGGAGATTTAGAGAGGGTGATAATTTGCTCCAGAATTTGGGGGCCAGGGGTCCTGTCAATCAATGTGTGATCAGGCGTGGGGCCTCATCAGGATCTGGTCCTCAAGTCGCATTATCTAGACATGTAAATGATCCTGTTTTTTCAAATAATAGGCCTGGGAGTAAGGCCTAGGGAAACTGTGAGATTCTTCCTCCAGTTAGGAAGGGCCAGGCCCTGGAGAAAGACATCATGTTTGGAAGGATAGATGGTCGGTGAAAGGGAGGACGACCCTCAACGAGATGGTCTGGCTGAGTGACTGTACTAAGAGGCTCACACACAGCAGAGGCTACGAGGATGGCGCAGGATTGGACAGCAGGGTTTCAGCCAGGCGCTTTGAGTTGGTGTGGACTCAGTGGCACCACCACCACCACCACCACCACCAATAACAACAAAAACAACAACAATAACAACAACAACAACAACATGTGGGAGAATAACATGTTTGACTGGCAGTCAATGCACCTGACATAAAGGGTGAGGTGCAGAGATCAAGGTGGGATCCATCCCGTTATTGGTGTTCCACCAGAAGCTCCAGACGTGCGCCCAGGCCCGGGGAAGCTTTTCTGAAGGATCTGGCCCCGAGCACTGTCTCCAGCACCTGATGTGGGACACACCTTGACCCCGCCTCTCCCTCACTCACCAGAAGGCCCTCCAGGTCGAGAAGCCAGCCCCTCGCAAAGGCAAGCTGACGGCGAGCCCCTCCGGGAAGTTCTGGATCCCGATTCCGATGGCTAAATTCCTGCAAAGACCAAGAAAGACAGGATGCTGTGGTCAGGAAATGCATACGTACATGGAGGAGGAGGCCCCCGGGCAGTCCTTGGGGCTAGAGATTCCGGAGGCGGGCTGTGATGTGTGGAGAGAGGACAAATGGGGACCACGAAGGGACAGGGCTTGTCCTTCACTTCTGTCCCTGGATCCATGGGCAAGCCATGTTCTTATGGTGTCACAGGACAGCAGAGGACAAAGGAGTAGGGGTGGGATAACTGGAATTCTGTCACTTAGACCAATGATTTGGGGCCAATTACAGTCAATCTTCATCATTCATGGACATTTGCAGACCTGCCTGCTCCCTAAAATGTGTTTTTAACCTCAAAAAGCAGCACCTGAGGCACTGGGGCAGTTACTGGTGGGCACACCATGCACAGGGCAGGGTCATGTTTGAATCTCGCAGTGTGCACGTTCCCAGTGTGCTCACACGGTGGCACACACCTCATCCTGTAAACGTGCTCTCATCAGACGTCAGGGCAGCTTCTCTGCTCAGGCACCATCGGCCTCTACTCATGTCAATTCCTACCTTTCAGCTCACGCTTCCCATTTCTCTCTGCTCTGTCTCTTGATGGATTTCCTCTTTACAATCCCTCTTCCTGCTCCTAACACACCTTCCTCTGTTCATACCTCACTCACACTACCTTCCATCTATGTTCACACCACTTCCCACCTCCCTGTTCACAACACACCACACTCCACATCCCTGACCAGACCACCCTAGTTCTGTTCATACCGCTTCCCCACTCCCTGTTCGCATCACATCTCTCTCTGTTCACCTCATCTCCCACCTTCCTTTTCACACTGCCCCTCCTTCTGTTCACACTACTTCCCACCTTCTTGTTCACATCACATTTATCTCTGTTCACCTCATCTCCCACTTCCGTTTTCACACTACCTCTGCCCTTGTTCACACCACCTCCCATCTCCCTGTTCACACCACCTCCCACTTCCCTGTTCACACCACCCCGCCCTTGTTCTTACCACCTCCCTGTTCACACCACCTCCCACTTCCCTGCTCATACCTCCTCCCACTCCCTGTTCACACCAACTCCCACTTCCCTGTTCATACCACCCCTGCCCTTGTTCACACCACATCCCATCTCCCTGTTCACACCCTCCTCTTTGCTCACATCACCTCTATCTCTGTTTCTGCTGCTTCCTGCTTCCCTGTTCACCCACCTCCCATCTCTCCTGGGGTTTATGTTACGGTGGCTCTAAGTGGCCAGCACATACATAGTGCCTTTTGCTACGTGGCTGCAGCAGACAAGATATGGGCTGAGAGTGGCTGTCAAGGTAGGAAATGACAGGAGAGGGTGAGCTGGGGGCGAAGAGGAAGTGGGGTCTCGCAGTTCCTTCCACAAAGCCCTGTGCGCTCCCCTCCAAGACCCTCAGTTCACTGGCCGCCATCCGCAGGCACGCCTATGAGACTACCGCTTGATGAGTGTAGCCTCCTGCGTTAGGCTTTGGGATGGGGAAGTCCAATGAGCAGTTAACTTTCCATGATGAACCGCTGGACGTCAAAAAATGTGCAAAAGCAATGGGGTGGAATGTCCCCTTGAGAAGACAGTGGTGCTGCGGTCCCAGCACAATGACACTGAGTCTTCAAGAATATGGCACCATTTTTTCCAACAACATGTGCTCACTTCCTGTCTCTGTCCCATCTTGGTTATTCCTACAATATTTCCACTTCCCCCCCTCCAATAAGGCTACTGTGTTATGCAGATGACACAACCTTGCTTGCAGATAGTGAAGATGACTTGAAACACTTGCCACAGAAGATCAAAGACTACAGCCTTCAATAGGAATCACATCTCAACATTCAGAAAATGGAATTCCTCCCCACTGGACCGAAAGGCAGCATCAAGACAGATGGAGAAAGGACTGAAGTTGTTAACTATTTCATTTTACTCGGATCCACAATAACACTCATGGTAACAGCAGTCGAGGAATCAAAAGACGAACTGCGCTGGGGGAAATCTGCTGTCAAGGACCTCTCTACAGTGCTAGAGCACAAGGAACACCTCCTTTTCTGGATATCCACTGATCAGTGGTCTCCACTCAAACCATTCACGTCAACGTCTTGGAGGGAGAGGGCTCTGGAGTCCTGAGATTAAGCAGAACCCTCTTCTCTCCCTCTCAATGGCACAAAGCTGTGCTGGGAGTGGCACTGAGCAGTCTGGATCCCGGAGCAATTCCTGCAGCAGGAATCAGCTCATCCTTCGCTGTCACTCCCAGCAGAAGGAGCCTAGGGACCTGGGGCTAGAATGAAAATGATTATAATCACTGCTACCGATCACCGAGTGTTACTGAGGGCCAGACATGGTTGTAAAGCACGTCACGTGTACCAGAAGCTGCATCTTTCCAACCACTTTTTGAGCTGTTCCTACCAGTGTAATCCCTATTTTACAGATGGGGAAACGGAGGTAACTTGTCTCCAGAATGGCCCCGCGACGGAGAGGTGGGACAGGACTCTCACCACTGCTCTCATGTTCTACATCTTTAGCTCTTCACTTCTGCCTCCATACACGGTCATAAAGAGAAGAGGCAGCCAGGCTCAGAGCAAGTGCTTGCAGGGCGTACGCGGCTGGTGAGCTGAGGTCCTGTCTGTTCCAGGCAGAAGGGCTATGAGATCGAAAGACGGACATCCTCTGGCCAGAGGGTGGACAAGAGGCTCCAGAATTTTACGGAGATGAGATACCTTCTCTATAGCCGCTTTCTCAATCTGGGCATGTGTGACACTTGGGACGAGATGATCCTTTGCTGTGAATTGTAGGACATTTAGTAGCATCTCTGCTATCCACCTACTGCCTGCCAGTGGCCCTCCTCCCTCCTCAAGTCATGCACCCCAAACAACCTCCAGACACGGCCAGGCGGCCCCTGACGGCCAGCACCACCGGAGCTGAGGACTCCCGGCCAGATCTTGCTCCCTGGCAAATGCGTGACCACAGACCATGCGAACTCAGGCAGAAGAATGCCTGGTCTCCTGCCTCTTACTAGAGAACACGGAGGCACCACAGAGGTGATGCTGCTAGGAGTCTTAGCTGGGGTAGACAGAGTGCTGGGTTGGACATAAGGACGGTGGTTGAGAAGCGCCAGGTAGCCGGGCCCCTTGTCTGAAGGTAGTAGTGACCCTGTAAGCTCAGGACTACACATTCCCAGGGGTGTTCTCTGTGAATGGTGCCCCCTGAAGGTGTGCAGAGAGTCATCCTGGCTGGAACCCCAACCAAAGATGGTCACTCAGTCCTTTGATCCTGGAGAAGGAAGCATCGGCTTCATGATGGAGGTGGTTTCTTGGAGAATCAGCAAGAGAGCGCCTTGGCCGCCTGCAGCCTCACTCTCCAGGGTATGTTCTCTGGCGGGCTGGCTGTGAGTGGAGCACAACTCTCTGAAGATCCTGGAGCACAGCACTCTGAAAATCCTGCTTCTCCACAGCCCTCAGCTCCTCCCAAGTGCTGTGAGCATGTACCTTCTTGCATGGCAGGCCCTTACAGACGCTTTAGATTGTTATCATCCCGCTGTGAAAGGCCTGATTGTTCAGGCCCAGGCGGTGACATCACCGACTTCCCACTCAGGCCGCCTGGTGAGGTGTTTGAAGAGCCTGCAGGTGGGAAGAGGCTGGGTGCTCCCGCAGGGCTGCCCGGCCCTGACTGCTCCCAGGAGCTGGCTTAGCACGCAAGGCAGCTCCCCGCCCCTCCTTTCAGCCTTGGGAACCTCTGGCCTGAGGGTGGAAAGATGAGATGACCTGTCCATTCCCGGAAGTCTGTAGCCCTCCAGTGTGGGGGCAGAAGAGAAGTGGGAAGTCAGGCCTCCAGGCAGGAGGTGTCCAAAGGTGATTTGGCCAACACTGGGCAGAGAAGAGTCCCAGATATCTGTAGGGCCTTTGCCTCCAGAGTGAGCTATGCCCTGGGGACCGTCGTCACCTGCTCCAGACCCTCAGCAAAGAAAACCAGTGCTATGCAGAGCTGCCACCAGCCCCCCACCAGCACGCCCCACTCTGATGGCTCCCATATGATGTCAGGTGTGACGTCACCAGGATTTCAAACTCTCTGCCCCCAGGATTCCCCACATCAGCAGGCTCTCCCGTGGGGGTTAGGTTCCAAGCGGAGCTTCTAGACCAAGAAAGGTAATGAGGAAGGGCTCGGTGTTCTAGTATCAAAAACGAGCCAATGAGAGCATTATGGATCACAACAAAACACTGCCGGACACAGGCCTGGAAGCCACTGCAAACACACAGCACCTGTAACAATGGGCACGGGATGCCACGGACAGTGGAGGTGACCCAGGATCAGGTGTGTTTCCTACTGCCAAACACGGGGTCAGACTTGACAATAATGAGCAACAGTGCATAGAGGCCAGGAACAAAACTGCCTTAAACTGGGAAATTTAAAAAGCGGGGGGCGGGGGGGGGGAGGTATAAACCTAAGAGATACGTGCCTATAATAGTCATCACAACACATGGGAAGCTGGCAGTTCACTGCTAGGCTGTCGATGGCAGGATCAAACAGGAAACCACACAAATACCCATCAACAAGGGAGGTGCTAAAAAATGTCCCAGAGGTCCAGGGGCGTGCTACGGAGCAACGTGAACAGAGGGTCGCATCCAGATGCACGAGGGAGCTCACAAAGTTCCAAGTGAAAGAAATGATGTGTAAGAGCAAATACTGCTACCCCACTGTGCAGCCTTCGTTCTGGACTCCTGTCATGACAATAATATCTAATCATATATCCCTTTTAAACAGTTCTCTCCCTCATCTGCTTCAACGCAGTGGACATCATTCATCCCCTCTTTCTCAGTCTCCCCTCAACCCCAATTTCAGTCCCGTTTTACAACAGTGGCACCATGCAATATTTGTCCTTTTGTGACTGAGATATTTCACTTGGCATGATGTCCTCCAGGGTCACCCATTTTGTATAATATTGCATGAGTTCCTTGTTTTTCAATGCAGCATAGTATTCCATTGTGTGAATGTA